TGGTGCAGTAACACACATTCCTTCAGTTAGAAAAAAGGGAAGCTTCGGCAAATCAATACACTATATTCAGAAGCATAAGATACTCTTCCCTTTAGTCTCCTTACTCGTAGTTCTTCTTGTACTTATGACATGAAAAGGGAGGGCCACGTTGATTCTCTCAGTGTCTATCATAGGAATCGAGGCGGAAGGCTATTATTTCATGAAGTTTATGAAGATCATTTGGATCAGGCACTAGTAAGGACGATCTAAATTCACTATTAAGAAGGTACATTCGCGTAATCCTGACGGAATAGGCATTTAACTTTTGAATCCATTCATTGGGGATTTGAGTACCCATAACTTTTTTTTGAAACGCTGTCATGAACTATGGATTCACAGTATATCCATGAGCCCACGGCCTTTCAGTTATAATTTCCTCTCTGTTTCTTTTTTTATTCAGAATCATTCTGTCCCTTTATAGCTTTGACATGCCAGATAACAGAATCGCTGACCCCCTGCCGTCACAATCTCACCTTTCGGCTTATTAGATAGTTACAATTAGGCAACAATAATATAATATGCATAGAAATTTCTTCCCTTCTGTCCTTCCTCTTCTTCTTCCATATCCTCATACCTGCTTTCGTGAAAACTCCTAACATCTAGTTTATTTTAGTCGTAACTAAGAGGCGCATTTGCAAAAGTGTTCTAAGTGATGCCTTTATCCTGAACATTGCACATATGATCGTGGGTTGTATGATTCACAAATTCACTAAATATCTTTTTATGAGAGTCCCTTTGAATATATAACTGTTGTGTGTTATCCTTTGAGTCCACACCTGAGAGTCTACGCTTAACGGCTTTATGATAAACCTGTAAATATGTGAAATAGATGCTTCTCTTGAAAAGGGATGAAGTATTAATGAAAGAGAACATGTATGAAGCACTCTATATTCTTGAAAATATTAATGTGGAGAATGCTAAATTTAGTTGTACCGTTGATAGTACTGTCCAATGTTTCCATGACATTAATGGAATAAAAGAGGAAAAGAATTGGAAAGGGCACGTACCTTCCTTGTTTCCTCCGATGTCCTGGATGGATGAGATTACAGAAATCTATGGGTAACTATAAGAGTCCTACTTATGTAAGAATTTTTCGTTTATCCACCTGTATAAATGTGGTGCCTCATGTTACAGTAGGGCCATGTGTTTTCTATAAAATAGCTATGTTGTATTTTATATAATACCTATATTATTCATTAAGGAAGAGATGTTATTTCAGATGAAAAATGACGACATGAATAGAGAATGGGTAACTCGCATATTCCCTATGACAGCGAGAAGAATAATATAAAGATCGTTTATATAATTTAAAAGTACCTGAATTTTGAAAGAATTTCTAGGATAACCTCTGTATTATTATGGTTTGCGTACGATAAGGCCATGGTGAGTATCAGATGTCCCCTATCAATAGAGAAAAGTTATTCCCTCCTAATTATGGAAGGAAAAACTTTATCATACTTATAAGAAATGAAGACGTTGTCTTCCACGATGTACCATAATCCTGCTAATAATTTGTCCTTGGCGGGATCAGGCCATGCAGTTATAGAAACCACCCATAACAGTATTAGCACTGTGCGCATCAGGAATATTAGGTTATTATTGACACATGTTCAGAAACACTTCAAATTAGTATCTGTTTCAAGATCTGCTCTAGGAAGGGATTATACATATATCCTGAAAAATAAAGGCAATATTAACAGTTCCTGTAAAGAATTTTTGTTAGAGGATTTTCAGAAACGAAGTCTCAGACTGAATGGGCATATTTTAGGTAGGCGCTGGCCGGCGCATACTATACAAGAACTCACAGATAATGAAGCAATAATGTATGAAAGCTCAAAAGGAGGATTATCAGGGGATCTGAAGCCGCGTAATTCTTTTGTACACCACATACGAAGGGTACAAATCGTTATGATTAGACATAATATGGAGATTCTACAACGGATTCTTCAAAGGATTAGATACATAGAACAGACGGTTCTAGCTAAGAAAATCCGCATTATCATAGAATATCATAGAGAATTAAGTGTGGCTTCCCAAGAAACTTTATCAATGAGAAATAGGACATTAGGCACCGAAGTAAGACGTCAAGCAAAATGTCCCCTAAACCTCAAAGGGGAATTGCGGAAGATCCATACTGTACTTCAACAACTGAAAAGAACAATCTTAGTAAGTCTCGCAATACTAAAAATCAAGAATCTTCAGGAGGCATTAAGGGGAATCCGTACTATAATCCTCAAGCAGTACCACGCCGTCATCAATTCGGTGTGCGATCCAATACGTAAAATCACGGCGGCAGAAATAATACATACATATCGAACAATTCTACATCCTCCCGCATCGTCCCTATCTATAAGGCATACAATTTCCTAAGGAGGAGTAAACACCATCCGCATATTAGGAGCAGTGAGTAATAGCTAGTGGGGATTGAAGTATATCGTCTAATTCTCCTTTTACGGATGCTCGTTTCATTCACACTGCGAGTATTACCGTTATTAGTAGGCATCCCATTGACAGTTGTCCTTTCTGTATCTTATGGACTCTTTGCTTTAGGCGTCATAAGATATCTCTATGTGCTTCTGAGAGTATCCGAATATGGACAAAAATTCGACGGTATCACTAAGCCTCGTTTTAAGGATTGTATATGAGGCGTGGAGAAATACATGTGAGACAAGATCTCGGCCTCTTCTTCCATCACAGTAACTGATTATTATTGGATGTTATGTTCTAATGATAGCGGGGCGCCTCCATGGCTGAAGGAGGATCGTGACTCCCAAAACCCCTTTGTAATTTGAACAATTACTCCCCTTTTTTTTCTTATCGTGCTATCTACATCACATTTCCACTGTGTCTCGTATCGTAAAATAGTATCTTGCCTTGAGTAAGTACCTATTTTTAGTTTTACTTTAATATGGTGGTTATAAAGACGTTCCTGTGGTATGTAGAATTATAAGTAAAGAGCCCCCATTTTGTGGGTATCCTGGATATGTTCGGAATGTTGCAAACCTATATAGCTATATGGATGCCTCATCACTTAACGCCAATCCGTCTCATGGAATCAAAGTCTGGTATACAGTGCTAACATGGCTATATAATTTATTCCTGTCAGGACGACAGGTGTCTTTTTTTCTTCTCTGGCGTCCACTTCCCTGAAGCTGATCAGGAGTATGTTTCATGTCTACCAAAAGAAAACTCTCTGGTCGCATTTTATTAGCTTCTAAAAAGGAGAATTCTGGAGTCTTTAGAGGTACGGATCAGGAGAATTCAGGATGGATTTCGATGAGGGGTTATCAGTGGAATTATTATATGCCTTGTTTCATGTGTGTCAGACGCTCTGTTTCTGTTTTAACTTCATTTTTGGCTCCGTGCTGCTCAATCTCCATATATTTTATCTTTTCTCACGAGATTGATATTAGAGGGGACATGTGACTTTCTTTTTAATCTCCGTTTTAGTAACCTCAGGAACGATTTTTTAATTCATTTGTTTGCATTCGGCACTGTGACCTTCCATTCCTCTTCTTATGTATTTTTTCTATTCTGTGTTAGAACAGATGAAGAAAGGAATGAGGGTGTAAACAAGTATTATAAGCATTCTCACATTAGATGCATTAATACAACCATATGCGATCAGGAATGATTCTAAGATGGATCCATAAATATCTGTTACATCATTATAATTTCTTCCTGATATTTCTAATTTCCTTCGTATGCCTCTCCTTCCAGTAATTGTTAAAGGCATGAACACACATAGGACGCCATCGTGTACACGGACCCTGAGATGCCGTCGTATTATCATTCGTTTTTTTTGTTATTTATCCTTTGTCTTTTCTTTAGAGAAATAGGACGCCTATATACTGACGGATGATTTCATATACCATAGACAACATGTCCACCTCACATGTCCTATTAATTGATTTCATGGACAAATGGAAAAGTCAGAACTGTATGTACAGCAGGCAGAACCAAGGGCACAACGATTTTGTGATCAATTAAAGAGGAAATATTAAGAAATACAAATACAAGGATGCCAAACTAACTAATTTATGAAACCCGTCCTCAACTTCAGTTGACAGAAGGAGACGGAGGAGCTCTCAGAAATAAAACAGGAGAGCTATTTCTGAATAAGGAGCTCCAAAGTATATTAAGGGCGACAAATCACCCAATTTTGGCATATCTGTTTCCACCCCTTCCGCGGGGGAGTGTTAGATACCCCACTGCAGATATCATAGTACAGAAATCGTCTCTTCCACTGTACTTCTCACAATATAATTTCTTCAAACAGATCCTTCATTGCCAGTTCCTTGTATCAGGAAAATATTGAAGAATGACAACTCCTTCATTGAGTATCCTCCTCAGTGATACATTACCTAAAGGAGTGGATCCATATATATCTGTTAATGGCGCCCATCTAGGCCGTGTATGTTTTCTTCTTTTCTCTTCTACACCGCAGGGATCCTACCTATACCATCAAGGTGTATTTTTATTTGATCAACTCAATTCTCTTGCGCCCCCGGAATAATTCTGTCCGGAAAATATAAGGTTGTGATCTGCCTAAAAGTCTCACGATATGGGCCATCCAGCCTTCATGTTATGTGGAGGATTTAACCGGTTAATTCAATGAGTGCAGCATATGAGCATGAGAGGGTCACAGACCTATCCAACTTGTAAGTGTACGAGCTTTGCGGCGAGAGACCTGTAATAGGAAACATCTGGAGAACCACCTTGTCACAGGTAAATTACTCTGGATGAGAAATAATAAGGGGGAACAAAGGTTCCGTATATATATAGCTATATATAATATCTGTAGGAATCACTGGGCCCAGCCACTGAGAAACAGGAAAGAGGCGGGTTCATATCTCGGCGCAGAAAACATGTTTTTACCAAAAGTTCACAAAGAGAATATCTCAGGTTCCTGTATTTATAGAGAACTCCTGTTGCGAATTCTCCTACCCGGTATCTATACATTATCAAGCCGAAAGAGTAATAATAAGGAGTGGAATTAATTTACTAAAGGAAGATGGATGGAGAACAATGATGCCGAAAAAGCGGAAGGACCCCCAATCGTAGGACCAGATTATTAGATTTCTAAATAATGTTTGATTCACACTCAAGGTGTTTTATTAAAGGCGCGAAGATACACGAGTAATCCAATTGAATACGACAGAATCTCGTATTCCTTAGGATCAGAAAGGATTGATACAACAGATGTGTAATAATATTCTGTACATGATGCCCCCCTCTCCTAACAACACAGATCTATATACTTGTAGTAAGCTGAAAAAACCCATCTTACGTGATTCTTTCAAAAATTAACATGAACACATCGTAGGCAACTTCTGTGCTCCTATTATTCTGTCTGTGTTTTTTAAAATATTACGAATGTTAGTTAGGCTGTTAGAAATCAATAGCTATAATATCATTAGAAAATGAAATAATTATCCTGACATGACAGAAGGATCCATGCATATTTAGAATTATCGGAACTATGAACGAAACTATAGCTGCTTATTTTTAGATTAGACCTACAATCGATTAAATAAATACACAAATAAGATTCCGCCATTAACCCTGGTCATGAAGAATAAGTACAAGATACTTCAGTAGCCGAAGGGCAAGAAAGATAAATAGATAAGGCCCAAGAAGTACAGAACAAATCATCAGCTCTGCGCATAACCCTTAAACTCAAAGAAAGAAAAGAAGGCAAACAAAGCCTAGAAATCTAAGCCGTAGAAAAGGAAAACCAGCCATAACAACTCAACCAAGTAAATTAAAGCAGAAATATCAAGGTTAAAGTCAAGAAGCGAAAGCCTAAGACCTCAGTCCTCAGAGATAACCCATATAAAATACTCCCTGCCACCTGAAAGATTGAACCTCAACCATCATCCTTAACGACTGAACCGTAAGCCAACCCCTAAGCCATAACCCCTGTCGCAGGCCCCCGTAACCCATAATCCCTCAAAACTGAAAGTCAATCCATAAGAAATAACAGACAATCCCGCCAAGCTAGAACCAGGAGCCAAGCCTCGCCAAAATTTAAAGCGTAAGCTCGAAAAAGTAGAAAAACAGCTCTGACAACTAAGAAATAGAGGGTCAAAGATAGACAATACATAAGCAACCCTAAATAACCGAGTCCTAAAGAATAAAAGATAAGCCATAAACTAAAGCCCCTAAAAGTAAAATCTGAACCCAAAGATTGAACCATAACTCCTGGACCCTAGAAACCTGAGAGGTAGGGCGTCAATCAACTCTAAAGCCTAAAAACTAATCGGAGGAACAGGAAGCTAAACCAAAAACCGTGACGTATGACCCAAAAACCACAAGAAGAGAGTCAAAAAGGAAAGAAACTGCAGACTGAATCCTCAAACTTAAAGGGGAAACCGTAGACACTAAAACGACAAAGACAGAAGGAGCCCCTAATGCATAAGACTACCTATAAAAAACAAACAAACCCCCCAGACCCATAACACGTGAACAGTCCAGCCTGAAGTTTACCCCCAAGAAACCCCCTAACCAGGCTTAACCGCTAAAACCATGAAGCTTGAATCCTGAAGGATAATGCATAGGCCCTAAGACCTAGATACTAAAAAGTGAACCATAAATCATATAAATGAGGCATAAACCCACAGGCTGACAGCTACACCCCTGAACGATAAGAGATGGACACTGAGATTAGAACACTGAGATCAAGAATATAAACAGTACAAGTTAAAGCCGAAGCCGCTCATATCTTCCCACTAAAAAAAAAGCACTGAATACTAAATCCTAATCGTAAACCGTGACCCCTGAACGATGAACAACAGACTCTAAGCAATGAAAAGTAGTCCAAAACCCTGAAGACAACACCAGAAATCCTAGACCCTAATCCCTGACCCCTGAAGCCTAAACATAAATCCTGAACACTAAACCCTAACCCCTGAACCCTAAACATAAATCCTGAACACTAAACCCTGAACCCTAGACCCTAAAAGCTGAACCCTGACCCTACAAATAACCCTGAAAACTAAGCGTAAATCCTAAACCCTAAAACTAAAAACTGAACCTAAACCACTAACCCTAATCAACTGGAACCCTAAACCCAAACCTAGACCCTAAACCTGAAACCTAAATCCCTGAACCGTAAACCCTAAACCCTGAACCGTAAACCCTAAAATCTGATCCCTAACCCTAGACCGTAAACATAAACACTGATGCCTGATCCGTGACGCTTAGACCTGGACCCTAGACCCTGAAGCCTAAACCTAAGCTTAAATCCTAACCCCTGAACCCTAAACCCCTAAAACTGAAGATGAACCCTAAACCCAAGGCATAAACCCTAACCCGTAAACCCAAGGCATAAACCCTGACCCGTAAACCCAAGGCATAAACCCTGACCCGTAAACCCAAGACAAAAGCCCTAAACCCTAAAACCTAAACCCTGAACCCTCAACCCTAAGCCCTGAATGATAAACCTAAACCCTGAACCCTAGACCCTAACCCCCGAACCCGTAAGCCCTAAACCATGGACTCCTCAACCCTTAACCTAAACCCTAAACCTGAGACCCTGAACACTAAACCCTGAATTCCCAAACTCCGAACCCCTAAACTCGACCCCCGACGTCATACCCTAGACAAAAAAGGCCGACTCCTCCCTCCTAAAATCCTAACCCCTACGCCTAGACCTCGAGAATGCTCGTCTAACGCCGCGGTGGCTCGTGGACCAAGTGCTGTGAATCAATGGGGGGACCTCCTCTCTTCACACTCTGCCCCCAGAACCTACCTGTATGCGTGGTCACTCCCACCCTAACGAGAGCTTGGTCCTGTTCATATATTCTGACTCCCACCCGCTAGTGCACCGGTTCCGACTCCGGCCGGTTGGCATATTCTCCTTTACTTGGTGACTCGGATTACTATACCCTTGTCGGGGAAATAAGCCTGGACCTTCTCCCTGTCGAGGTCCTGGCTCATCCCGCTCGTTCAGCTCGGCTTCAGCTTTACCACGCATCGTCCCTTGGGTGCCGGGGTCGGGTTCCTGGGGCTGCCTGAGTGGGGGCGAAAGCCCCTCCTGTTCCTGAGAGTAGTTCTGTGCTTTTTTGCCTTGATCGTCTCCTCGCCATTATAATAAACTGCCACTTCTGCTGTTGAACCCCTTTTCCTTGCCGTGTTGGCTCTGACCTGTTCCTTTGAGATCCAGGGTCCAACTGAGTTGTGTGGTAGATGTTCCTCCAATGTTTTAGTCACTTCTGCTCCCTTCCTCCGGGACCTGTCCTGGTTCTGGGTTTTGTACCTCGTCGTGCCCCTTTTTAGGTGTATACCGCCTTCTCGCCCTCTATCACTTGTGCTTCGGGGGTCCCCCTTGGTGCCGACGCGGAGGTTCTGGTGCTGGGCGTGAGATCCTTCCTAAACCCATTGGAGTGACCCCGTGGGGTTGGGGGGCTAATTCCATTTCCGTGATACGTACACTCTAATCACTCAACTGTCCATAGGCCCTTGCTGTATCGGATGAGTTTGTCCCTAACCCTAGAGTTTAAGCGACGAGATACTCTACTAAAAACCCCCAGTGCCTAACAAGACCATTTGGTCATTAGATTGGATCACTGTCCTGTTCCCTACCTCAGAATATCATACATGACTCTAAATCTTCCCGGACCGGCCCTGGGGGGAGGATTCCTCCCGAATTTCCCATAAATACGATATAAACCATACGCTGAAACAAGGAACATCACACCTACGGCTCCTACGACGCCAACAACTCTCCCTACTCCGGCAGAAATGGCGTCCCTTGATGAGTCTACTGCTGGAAAATTCGCCTTAACTTCACTTTGTTGTAGGGTAGGGAGGTGGTCAACCGGCTGTTCTTGCCCGACTGTATTGCCATTAATTACTGCATCCGCTTTTGGACCTGGGGGGTGGTCTCGGGATGCGTTAAAGCCGCCTGGAGGGTACTGTGAATGTTTCTCAGATATTTCGGGTATTGTTACTTGACTATTGTTGGATTGGGGGGGGGGCTCGAGGTCGGGGCCCTCCTGTACCTTCCCCTCTTGAACCTCTCCTGGAACCCCCCTGTCGTTCGGATTGGTCGCTTTTGGGTTGGACGGTGCAGAAATCTTCCCTTGCTCCTGACTTACGCTGTCCGTAACTTGATCCTCTTGGTCTTGGTCTCCCGTCTCTTCCTTCAATGCTGGAGTTTGTTCCAGAGGAATTGAGGTCTCCTCCTTTTCGGCCCCTAATTCGCTCCTTGAGATTATTACTAGGTCCCCTTCCTTGCTGTGCTCGTCAATATTACAGAATGGATAGCCGCTCCTTGATGTTTGACAATAAAAATCTTGTCCTGGACCCTGAGGTAGATTATCGTTCAAGATATTATTCAAACCCGATAATGGACACGTAGGACACAACGTTCGTATTGAGTTAGCTACGCTTAGGATCAAACTCAGTAATTCCATCCTACATGCTGCAAAGCTCCCGTCCATTTGGCAAGTTTTCTTGCCCTTCTGGACTACTTTCCAACCCTCCGCTACGCTTAATGTCTCCTCCTTCCGCATCTCTTCCATTTTTTCTTCCAGCTCCTTACATCCTGACCATGCCGCATGATTCTTATCTATTATACTGTTATCATCTTGCCATATCAAGTACATTATGCAACCAACCAGATCTAACATCTTCTGACAAGTTGCTGCTGTATTGCAGTGGATGTAGTTCGTGGGGCTGCCCATCAGACCTCTCCAAAGTCTTTGTTCGGCCAGTCCTAATCTAGAGTCCTCTCTTCCAGTTTTTGACTTGTCTTTTGCTTCCTCTAAACTTTTGTGGATGATACTATCCAATAGATCGGTCCAGCTTAGTCCTAACCGCGCTTCCTGACTCGCTATATTTCCTTCTCTATATCCCTTGCTCTGTTTTTGGTAGCTACTTTTTAGTCTCAATCCCTGTTCTACCAACATACCCACTCCTGCTGCGGTTCGGCCCTCTCTTATCCTTTGGGTTGATATCCCATAACAAAACTTACTGCCGCCTCTTTCATTACAGCGGTGCTCTCCTGCGCGTCCAATCCTTGGGTCGGCTTGCCAGAGTCTTTGGTTGCTCATTTTAATCTATTCCTTGCTACGGAGAGTTTTCCTCGGCCCTGCTATTTGGAAGTTTTTGGCCCTGATGGTTAACTCGCCCGCTTCTCTTTTCCTAACTAAGGACGACTTCCTGACTTGCTGTTTCGTTCACCTTGTTCCTTCCCCCTTTCGCTTTCTCTTCAGTTTCGTTGGGGATTGGAGGACGTAGATCTGCTTGAGGTGTATATCTCTAATCTCGTCCATATCTTCGCTTATTACCTTTTTGTGGTTTTCTCGTTTGTTCGTCCTTTGGGCTTTTTGGATTCCCTCGATTGCCTGTGACTTGGGAGTTACCTGTCGCAGCTCATCAAATACTTGGGAGGGGCGGCGGAATTTCCTGATTTTAATGTGTGATGTCTTATCCCATCTGCCTGGAAGTCTCTTCATTGGGGATGGATCCTGGTTCTGGATCCTATTATAATGATTTATCTCCTTGTCCTGTCCCTTTCACTCAGTAGGACCTACTGTCAGACTGGGAGTCCCCCTACATGATCTACTTGCTGGGCCACCAACGGTTCCTGCCCTCCTGGGATTCTACTACTGCAACATTTACTCCCATGCTGTTCTGCCCTTTAGCAGCTGGCCTGGCCTCGTTTTTCGTGACCCCTGTGTCTGTACCCTCCCCTCCCTTTTCCCTTAGTGCTCTCCCTTCTCAGAACCACGGTCCCTCATTCCCCTCGGTTTCTCTTTAGGGCTCCACTCTCCTTGGTCTTTCTCCTCTTTCTTGCTCCCACCAACTTGTAAGGCCCTATTCCCCCAGCTCTGGACCTTCCTCTTGGGTCGGGAGGCAGATTGATCTCTACCTTTTTTCCCTTTCCTATCACTCCAACGGACACTATTCCCCAGCAGACTCCTACTTCCATTCCTTCTACTCTTGCTTAATCATCCGCAGCTGTCGCCCTGCTCTCTTATGTTGTTCTCCCTTCTTTTCTCTATTGTGGTTCCAGATCTTGTAATTCTCTCTGCCTCTACCTTCCCGAGCCTTGGACCCCCTGATCTTGATTTTCTAACCGGGGTCGCCCCCCTTGGTCACTTTGTCTCCCCTGTCCCCCTCCTCTGGCTCTTTCCAGTGGAGACTCCCTCTCATTACGGCTTCTCCTCTGCTGAAATTTTAGCTCTCTTGGAGTTTCTATCCTGTTCTGTTCTTGATTTTCTCCCTTCGTCCCCTTCGGTTGCTTACTCTAACGACTTGTTCAGTCCCTTCACCTGTTCCTCTCTCTATGCTCGTTGGGGTGAGTTTCTCCTAGGCTTCAGTCCCCCTTCCCTGATGTTCCTTCTGCCTGTTCCTTTACTCCTGAGGTCCCTCTATCGCTTCGCTTCCTTTGGGGAGCCTTCTCCTGTGAACTCCCTGAGATTCTTCTCCTTATACCTCTCGTTTCCTTCATACGAACTCATCTGGGCGTGCGTACTCTATCTAGGATTGGCTGTTGTTCCCTTCCTTAACTCCCCCTCGTCAAATGTCCCTTTTGCTACTCAAGTTGAGATATCTTGACGTGTCCTCCACCCCTGACCCTCAGGACCTCTTTCATTTGCCTTTGCCTGTTTGCATAATTGGTGTCCTTACGTTTGGGCAGTTTCTCCTTCCTCTCGTTCCTCCTGGCTATTTCGGCAGCACGGGACGGCTCGTCTCGGATGCTTATTCACCCGGGCCCTATTCTTTAGCTTCTGTTTCATCATTCGCGACGGCCCCTTTTCGGGTTGGGGCACTTTCTCTTAGATACCCCTTTGGCTCATTCTTGGCCGAATTCGCCCACTCAGTCCCTACTTGAAGTCGCAGTGGTCTGTGCCTTCTTTTCTGGAGACTTGTCGTCAGCTGATTCTCCTCTTTTCCCTTGAAAGATTTGCTGATGAGAATGCGACCAAACCTGATGTTCCGCTTTTAACTTCGGACTCAAGTCGTCGCTACTCTGATGTCGCCTGTTGTTCGTCTTTGTTGTCATCGATCGTATCTCTAGCTTAATAAAGATTTAATCTCCTTCCTCGGCTTCTTCTCCTTTAGTCAAGCTTTGCACTGCCCGTTCCCTTTCGGCCGACTCGGATTTGTTGTTGATACTTATAAAACCCTGAGCGTCGCATCCTTTGCAATGTCGTAGGAGTTTTTCTTGTTGTTGGATCTTTACTTGCCCCCCGATTCCAGCCTCCGTATTTGGGCTTAGTTTGGCCTGGACCTTTTGATGCCTTCCTACTCTTCCGGTCCTTATTATCAGATTTTACAACCTCCCAGGGCTTTTTCGCTGAATGCAAGGTTTGAATTTAATTCTTCAAACGTCTCCTGAGTTCTTTGGTTTCCAGTAGTCCTTTCGTGTCCGTTTTCGATCATTTGTTGACGTGGCCCGAACTGTAGAAGATTGTCCACCTCTTCTATGGCTCCAAAAGAATGAAACATGCGCTCAGTTCTTTTAAATCCTTTCCTTCTCCTCTTTCTTGTTCCTCTGAGTTGTGTTCTAATGAGAATTCTCTGTACTCTATTTCCCTCTTTTAGGTGATTCGGTTTTCAGGTTCCGTCCTGTTTGTTGTGATTATTAATTGCTCTGGTCATGGGGTCTGGTCGCTTCACACAGTTCCGGAATTTAACAGACTCCATTACATAGAATTGTCACGGCTGGTCAGATGTTCCTCTTTTTCGGATCCGCCCCTTACTTGGGGAGGCTTTCCGTGGTTTTCTATAGGGTGCTTATTTTTCCCTCCTGGTGCTCCTTGTTTTTCGTTGAGATGTTTCGCCTGCTATTGGTTTCATTTTCCCTACTGCTTCATTTTGGAGTTGCCGTTCTCGAGTTCTGACTTTCTAATCGGGTCTCGGTTGAGTCGACCTGTCGGGTTGATCCTTTGGGGAGTCGTGCCGATTTGTTGAGATGATTTTGGTTTAGCAACTCTTTATTCCTGCTGACTCAGTCCCTTATCTTTGCTATTTCTTCTGTTATTCTTGCTGGTCCTAATCTGAAGCTTACTCCACTTCGGACGCCTGCTCTCCGGGTCCTAATTCGACTCATGTTTGAGCTGCTTAGGAATCCGTTTAACTCGATCTACCTGGACTTTTATTTGTTGAGGTGGACTATACTGGCTTTCTGTTTGCTCTGGGTTATGTCACGTACTTACTCCTTGATTTGATTGGATCAGATGCTATTTCTGTCTTTTGGACTTTTGTTTTGGCATTTTTGAAATTACTTGATGTTATTAAGACGATTCGTTTCTTATATTGGCTTTTCCATTTTCTTGAAAGTCGCGTCTATGGAGTTCGATCCATGGTTTTGGTGAGATTCCTTCAGTTGTGCCTAGGGAGGGATATTTATTTGTTCCGTTGGGCATTCAATGGTGCTCTAGTTCTCTTGACATTGGGCGTATCCTAATTTTGAACTTGAGTTTGAGTTTTTCAGATTAACTCACCTGTGGAATGTTACCTTCCCTTTTTCCTTTCTCCTCCCCTTATTTCAGCCTTAACCTGCCCTCATGGTCCTTACTTTTTAATTATTATTGAGTCTGTTATTTGGCTCTGCTCCGCTGTCTTCTGTAATATCATATTCATCTTTTAGTCTAGGTGCTGATTTGTCTTGGGGTTTTCTATTCTTTGCTTATTGGATGCTTCAGATTTACTTTTCCTTTGTTGGGTTTTGGCTGGGGACGAAAACGGTGGCTTCCTGCGGGTCGGGTGCTTGAGGTGTTCGTGGTGAGTGTCGACAACTGTCTTTTTCTGATTGTTGGGTTCCAGAGATTACATGCTCCCTAACTCACCTATCATTTCATCTGCTCTGGATTTGTTCCTAATTATGTTCGTAGAACCTAAATAGGATATCAAAAAGTTGGTTGTATTTTACGAGGACTGACTTTAGCTGGTGGGCCTAGAGTTGTTTGTCGCTTGCCCTTGTAGGGGAGGGAACTTAGCTGCTTGGGTCACGCCTAATTTCGCTGTGGGACGTTTTCGTTGTACTTATGTTCTCTAATCCTTAGGAATTTTTTTGTGGGGGGGTCTGGATTGTTGAGATTGGTTTAGGTGGAGAGTTGCCTCTAGAAGTCTGGCCCCCTCGATCGTGCTCACCTGTGCCGCATCTGCCTCATGGATAGACTACGGACTTGGTTTGGAGGACAGAGAATTTATTTCCCCCCCTTAATCTTTATTCTGGTTTTCAGTTGCTGTGTGAGTTCTGTGCGGTTCTACTTCGCTCAGTTGTGGAGGTGTCCCGTTCCTAACTACCTGTTGCTGCTGGTGCCTGTTTGAGGTTGCTTGTACGTCCGGTTACTTGTGTTTTGAGGTGCTAATCGTAATTTTATCTTTCCAGCCCATAATAGAACTCGCATGGGACCTGCCTGGTTTAGATCCCTTAGTTTCACTATCTGTAATTTCTGGTTCTATTGGGGGTTTATTGAATTTACTTAAAAGCAGTCTGTTAGGGCTTTTTGCCGGAAATATCTAATGAGGTGGAATGATTCAGAGGATCAGAGAAAATAAAATCATTATTTTAATCTGTGCTCACCTTCTTTAAAAGACATAAGTGGTGGAAAGGTCTTTGGGTTTTGGGTTTTTTAACAGCCTTCTGTTACCTCCTTCCTATGGTTGGTAACTAATTTCTGCATCTTAGTCTTGAAATAATTTTTCGGATTGCTAGCTTTTAGCTGGCTGTTAGGCTTATGATATTGCTTCTTGATACTAACACTACGTTTGGAGGATTTGTCCTTTTGTATTTTTCTTTCTTTACTCAGATTGAGTCATACAGAAAAAAATTTATCCCTCTGGGGCATATAGAGGTTCAGACGCTCTAGTTTTCATAAGGCTCTCTATATCTCATATTCCATCAGACTCTTCCTTGAGGGTAGGATCGATGCTTTCCTGTCTCTAATGTTTAGAGAGTGAGAAATTGATCTTTTAACTGTTTTATCCTGGATTTTGAGTTTTGCTATTGATCCTTTGGAGGTGGGGGCCTAAAGAGATCCTTTCGCTTTGATGAAATGATTAAACCAACTTGGGGGGTCTTAGACTTATCTTTATCCTCCTCAGAAATATTATATAGAGGTTTAGTCTTATGATTTGGTTCAGATCCTTTGTTGATTTCCCTTCTGTCTAATTCTGTCCAGTCTAATGTGTCTAGAGTGGGATCGGTCCCTTTCGATGGGGTGAGGGAGTTTGGCTTTGGGTCCATACTTACTATCTTTCCTTGTTTTTTTAACTTCATCTGTTTTGCCAAAATATTCCTTCTTTGCTTGATAGTACGCAGTCATCTTTTTCGACATAAAGGTGAAAATCTTTTTTCGGATTGCGCGTTATTCATCTTGGAATTTCTATTTCCTCTTCTAGGAAATTTTTCTTAGGTTGGAGAAATAATGTCGGTAGCTAAATATACAATAGGACGGGAGATCTGTAACCTGTTTTTGTTTTCGGGTTAAAGAGAACTAAAGATACGTTTCAGACAGTCTGCATTAATGGATAAACACTTATTCATTCCATTACTTAAGCTTTCGTTAAAGAAAACATAAAAGGAACAAGATTGTTGTTCTGAAAATCTCTCAATACATTGATTTCCTAAAGAAGGATTTCTTTTAAGTAATTATAGAGTGAGAATGAGTCCTGAAAACATGAATTGTATAGTGGCATACTGTTCTGCTGATTTCCTGTTACTGGAGTTTTGAATAGTTAGAAATAATGATTTGGATGTTGGTTCCTTTTTGATTGCATCTTCTGCCCTTTCCATTTTTCTTTTTGAGTGAGGACATGGCCTTAATATTAAACAGGGTTTGATCATGCTATGGTCAAGCTTCTGTTATAAGCGTGTCCATAAATTATAGACTTCATGGGATCCAATTTATTCCAGATAAATCACCATCATTAGATTTAGAATTTTTGGAATTTAGTTTTCCATCTGACCCTTCTGTTCTTAGATAGTCAACTGCAGTTATCCGGAGGGAAATTCTCCGGCTGTTTCGTTGTTGGATGGTGTTTCCCTTGGGGGGGCATCAGGTTGGTCATGATTGTTAAAACATTGTCCGTTGACAGGCCCGTTAGACATGACCTATAATGAGGTTATTGATTTCTTATACCCAGAGACTCGTTTTTCCAAATAAACATCGAAAAATAAGGTAGACCTGATCCAGAGTAAGAACAAAATA